AAACTATTTAAATGTATTAAACTTAAACTCATTGATAACCTTGATGCAGATGATTTAAGGCCACTATTCCACATGCACAAAGAGACTCTCGAGCCCACTGGAACTTTAATGCTGCACTTATATAATCTCTTCATCAGTTAAGTTTTTCTCAAATAGTTTCACCAGTTTTTCATTTAATCTCTTATCAAAAGAATGTGAGCAGCAAATGAAGCAGCCAAGTGTGCAACATTATTCTATCCTAAGAGTCCCATGAAACTTTCTCAAAAAGAGGGTGGAGGGGGAGGAAATGTACTTGCTTGGTCTGCTCCACATTACAAGATGAGCTTACATACCATCCTAAATGAGGCAGAGAAAGGCAGCTCTGATTAGTTTAAAACAAACTAAACAGTCAAACAACAGGGAGCTCCCTCAGAGTTGATGGGAAGATGGATGCAGGTAAGCAGAGGGCTGGTCATGAAGAAAAATCTGCTAAAAGCATGAATGGCTTGGGACAGGGATGCAGTTTCACCTTCCAGCATCGCAAACACTAACCATATAGCCAGAGGTTCAATCTACTTTATAAATGATCCCTCACACCCCAGCCACAAACTATTGCAGTCACTTCCCTCTAGCAGGAGGCTACAATCCATCAGGACCAAAACCTTATGCCACAAGAACAGTTTCTTCCCATCCGCTATCAGCCTGATCAACAAGGCCCAGAGACCCCCATGACACTGACACTGCCTCTCTCGCTCCCCCATTCAGAATCTAAAAGCTACTCCGATGTAGCATCTGCAGGCGTCCTGCATTACATTAACGCACAGCCTACTGTGTATATAGCATATAGCTATAAACTATATTTTATGTTTTTATATTGTATATAGCTATAAATTCTGTATTCTGTAGATGTATATAATTTGTCTGCATCATCAACACCAAGTCAAATTCCTTGTAAATGTCAGCCTACTTGGCAATAAACTTGATTCTGATTCTGAAATAAAGAGCTGATTTCAAATCTCAGTCCAATTTTATGTTTCTTCAAAAAAAAGAAAAAAACACAATATAATACACTGAGGTTTGTCGTTGTAAGCTGACAAAAGTCCCAAAAGCTGTGAATGCTTTTAAAAAGAACTGAAAGGCTGAAATTAATTATTGGTTTTAAATTTCATTCTCCAACACTTTTTCCACTTTTTCTAATTCTTTTGCTTGTGATGCAATGTTTTTTTTTTATATAAGTAAATATGTTATATTTCAGTGTATTTGATTTAATAATAACTTTTAAGATAAGATTTCATGGGGCAAACATGTATTGGGAGGAGGCTTACAATGAAACCAGGCCATTTTTATCTACTCATTTCATTTCATTATAGTTTTTTTTTGGGGGGGGGGACCGAAATCACTTTTAATTTACAAATCCTGGAGCTCCTGTGTCAGAAACCCTTATAAACATTTAGTGGTAATAAAAACATAAGAGGTTACCGTGAATGTTGAGGCCGAATAGAAGATAATTGAGCTGACAAAGAGATGTAAAATGGGTTTTTAAAGGAGGAAGCCTTGTAAAGGAACAAAACGCACCTTATTTTGCCATCCACTCAGCCGATTAAATTTATAGCTGCAAAGCACATTGAGGAAAAAGGTAGCCTGAACAGTGGAAAGTGGAGGACTTCCAAGTATTTTTTTCCTTTTCTAAATCGATAATGAGGGGGGGAAGATTTAGTACTTATTGTCTTCTTCACTCCTTAAGTGCTGAGCCGTTTTTTTTTGCCTGACTCCCTACAGGACTGGGTTTTTTTGCTCTGTGCAGCATAAAAAAAAAATTATTTTTTTAAAGAGCTGAAGGACTTGTTTGGTGAGAATGTCACAAAAATATGAAACACAGTTGTTTTAATATCAGCTTTCTGGAAAATACAATCTTATTTCTTTTTTAATGTTCTTAATTATAGTAAATTAACAAAAACTTTATCAACTTTTTTTATTATCCTGATCCATTTAACAACAACTTGGTGAAGTAAAACGGAGTACCGGTATATGTTTATTTAAAAAGAATTAAAACAAAATCTAATTTTTTCCCTTACAACAAACTAAGTTGAACATTGTAATGATTTTGGTTTTTCTCAGGGAAACTAAAAAAAATACTTGGTTTTGTCTTTCACACATACACACACACAAAAAAAACATTTAATGTGCAATTATAGGATGCAGCAGAGAAAAAGCTATTCATGTCAAGTAGATGAAGCATCGAAGTGTCAGGACAGAAATTTAAATAAAGAAATTATAATTATATTTGATGCTTATCCGGTAGAAAAAATATTTTAAAAGAACAAGAGTCACTAAATCTTGATAATGGCAAAAATACCTTCACTGACAGATTAATGTAAGCATATATTTAGGTTACTCTTTTTGAAAAACAAGTGGTAATTCAGCACTTCTTGTTACAATAAAAGTTCCTTTAATGTTCAAATAGCTCTTCCTTCATGGTCACAGACCAATCTAACAAAATATCTATAAAGCACTTAAAAATAAACACAGAGGCCAAAGTGCTGTAGAGAAGGACGCTAACCACTGCTTTCACTGCTTTTCAAAATGCAGTCAAAGATAAATAGGACACATTCCCGATAAAAAAAATCCACTGTATTATAAGTTTATTAAAGGAAGGCCCCTTGATAAAAAACAAACGAAAAAAAACACCACCTCTCAGTTATTAGCTGCCACGAATGTGTTTAACCCCTTATATCAATAAACTCACTGTGGAGACTTTCTTTAAATATTTTCTTTAGACTGGTCCTAATAGCCTTTTTTCACATAAAGCATGGTACTTCACAAGAGTTAATGCAATATGTTGTCCCTCTACTGGTTTGTATGTCTCTTTGTTATCTATGGGTGTTAAATTGTCTTTGTTTTAATTCTCCCATTATCCTTAGGGTCAGTTTGACCAAATTTAATGTTAATCGCTCAAACAATAATTACTGAATCTTTTTGGATTCATGTTAATGACTATTTCCAACAAATAATTAAGCATAAAATTATCTTGAAGATATTTTTTACTTGCAGAACACATCGTGCATGCGCAAGTATTCCCTTTAGGGTTAATTTCACTCCAAGCTGTTTTGGCTAGATTGTCTGTGTAAACCATGTGAGACCTATTATCTCCACACCTGTGGGTCTAGAGTTGACACCTCTGATCTGGCATAAAGTGTCATGATCTGGCCTGTTTGCTCTCCCTTAATTGGTAATTTCTTTCACCTGTCACTTTCCCTCCCTTCCTCAATTGTCATTTATTCCTCTCATCTGTTTCCTTTGGTTTATATGTTGTTCAGCTTGAGCATTCAGGGCCAGATGATTATTTGTTTTTCTGCTAGTCTTTCTGTTTTGTTTATTTCATGGTTCATGTTTTGGATCCTGGTGGCCAGTGGAAAGAGGTTTTTGTGTCTGTCTTGTCTCCTAATCGTCAACTGTTCCTCCCCTGCTGAGTCCTCAGGGTTTTTGGCTCTTTACGCGGTTTTTATTCCAGTAAGCCTGGCTCCAAGGAGGAGACCAGTTTAAAGGTCCTGCATCAAGTTCTGGTTCCACATCCTGTCTCTGCTGCACTGGGGACATTCTTGGACTTGACTGTTAAAACAGGTAAGTGACTAACTCAGATAATCTTCTGTCAGATGATCGTGGTCACTTACCTGTGTTTCTCCCACTAACAGAGTGTCTGTGATTGCAGCTGTGATTGCACCTGCAGTTGCCGCATGCCACAGTTCCTAGCAGCTCCCCTTTTAGTTTTCTTCTTCATTTAAGAATCGTTTTGAACTTGCCTACTGACTGTCTCTCCTTGAATACTAGGTTAATCTTTCCTCGTTTCATGACATAAAGGAGGGGAAACAATATGAAAACTTTTGAGCTCCATGGATATGAATGTTTGTCTGTATTAGTATAAAGTATTTGGTCATTTTCCACTTCATCAGCCAGACAGACTTAGCACACGACTTAGCATGCAGTCAGCCACGTTGAAGACATTAAGTCATCATTTGAGCTCCTTATCACATCATCAATATATATATACTATATAAGCATCAATAAATTGATAATTTTGTCAGTTTATTATTGTCCCTCTCAAATTAATTCTAATTTAAAAATGTGTCAAGGTTTTAAGTATTTAATGTGTCTAATTAAAAAATTTGACACTTTCTGGAAGCAAATATGTTATTTGAAATGTGTTAAATTTGAAAATAATTATAGTTGTGAAGAATATAATTGGCTGAATGGCTGGAGGTCTGTTCCAGACCCAATCAGCCAGTGGTTGCAATCTTTTTTTTCCTACCCCATAAATTGAAGCTCAGTATATCGCATAGAAGCCCTGGAAGATGCCAATGGCGGCGGCCTCATGTGTGTATATAACATAAGTTGAGTAATTGATGAAGAGGACTTTGGATAAAATCCATCCAACCATTCATATCTACAGCTGCATTTAAATTTGAATATATCACTGAAAATGAATATTATAAAAATTCTGAACTCACAGCTTTTTACCAATGAAATACTGGGCACATTCACTTTTCACCAAGGTTTCTCAATGTACTCAATGATCAACTAAATTGTCTACTTATGTGAGCTGTAAAGCTGATTAGTTGCACCTGTCTAATTATTGGCATTAAGCAAGTGAGGCATTTGGTGAAACCCAGTAAACACAGCTTGACATGTTGTGCCTAACTTGAGTTTAAATTGAATGTAAAGTCTGGCTATTTGAAGTGCATTTTAAATACCACTCTGATCCTTTATTAGTAAAACACCACAATGTTTCACATTAAAGTTACACTGACAATGGAAAGTGCTATCAAGCTGCCATTGGTATGCAACTTTATTTGGACAGGTACTGCAAATAACCAAAATTATTCATAGGACTGGTAGTTTTAAATGTATATATTTTTTATTAAACGAACAAGTTTATGTCTAATTGTAAATGAGACATGGTACAAATATATCCATCCATCCATTTTCTGTCACGTTTATCCTAAATGGGGTCATGAAGGGTGATGGTGCCTATCTCCAGCAGTCGAGAGGCGTGGTACACCCTGGAAAGGTTGCCAGTCTATTGCAGGGCAACACAGAGACGCACAACCGTTCACACACACTCACACCTAACGAGAATTTAGAGAAACCAATGAACCAAACAGTCATTTTTTTGGACTGTGGGAGGAAGCTGGAGTACCCAGAGAGAACCGCCGCATGTTCAGGGAGAACATGCAAACTCCATGCAAAAAATCTTCGAGCCGGGAATCGAACCTGCAACCTTCTTTCTGCAAGGCAGCAGTGCTACTCAATGCAGCTTTTGGTATATTCCACTTTTTTGGTTATGAGTTCCCAGTCTATGAGTTTGGAAAGCCTCCTTGCCTTAATACTAATCTTTAGCTCCCTCCACCTCCTCTTGATCAGATTCCACTTTAGACTCTGGCTTGGCCTTTCAAAAATAGTAATACTAGGATTCCATCCATCCATTTTCTGACACACTTGATCCCAAGTGGGGTCGCAAGAGGTGCTGGTGCCCATCTCCAGCTATCTCCATCCAATCCATCCAGGCAGAGTACAACCTAGACAGGTCGCCAGTCCATCACATGGCAACACAGAGACAAACAACCACTCACACACACACTCACGCCTAAGGAGAATTTAGAGAAACCAATGAACCGAACAATCATGTTTTTGGACTGTGGGAGGAAGCCAGAGTACCCGGAGAGAACCCATGCATGCTCAGGGAGAACATGCAAACTCCATGCAAAGAGACCCAATGCCAGGAATCGTACCTCAAACCTTATCTGCTTCAAGGCGGTAGTGCTATCCACTGCGCAGCCCTGTAATACTAGGATTTAGAAGAAAAAATACAAACTTAAATACTAATTGAAAACTTTATCAGGCAGAGGAATTAATAATTTTAAGAAGGGGCCAAGTTTCTTTTGAATTATGAAAAATTAATAAATACTGGCCTGTTATCTTCACACTAGCCCTACACATAAACAGGCACGTTACAGACATATAACAAACAGCCCAACAGAATCATTTAGTTAGATTACATAAATCATCCATCAGATAAATAAGTAATTTTTATTTAGCATGAGCTCTTAGCTCTTAGAGAGCGCAGACCTCCGCTCTGCCAGATCTCCCAATGTAGGAGAATCTCTAAAAACTGGTATCCATATTATGATCTGGATCATCACCAAATTTTAATGGATTGTTCCTTGGCTTTTGAAAGAGAAAACCTGATTTTTTTTAAAAAGGAGCAGTTTGATGCCTTGTGGAATTAGGAACATCCCAGAATCTATTAACAAATAGCTAATACCTGGGCTGGATTATAGAGAATAATTTTAATAGACCTTTTCCATTTGCCTTATTGCAGACAACAATGGAAAAGAGAAAAGTTGTGTTACATTAATCAGAAACATCAGTTTGAATATTGCATTTTTGGCAAGGATTTTTAGGTTGAAACACTCTAGTGTCATAAGCAAAACAAACCAGTTTAAAGACAAAAGAGAAATAGAGTTGTCTTAAACAAAGCTTTGAAGGGAAGCTTTCCGATACCAAAATTGCAACTGTTTAAAATAGTTCAAATTAAAGAAGTCATGGAGAACTTTTGCATTGCTGCTCACATCCTCTGTGGCAAACTTACAAAAAGAGGAGAGAATGTTTAAAAAAAAAAAATAAGAATATTATATAAGCAACTACTTAAAGCCAAACTGTTTGATGTACTGGTTCCCAGTGGCTTCAAGGACTGATATGAGCTGAAAGTGACATTCTCACTTCCTCAAGGGAAGGATGGATTTTACATCTTTGTGATGTTCTCAAGAAAAAAGGAGAGTTTCTGTACATTCTAAAACATATTTTTGCCAATTATCTTTGCCCTAGTTTATGGACACAACATTTTTTGTGTAATAAATCAAACATGAAGACAGTATTCCTCCCCATGTGTCAAAAAGCACTATTTCACACAGAGGCAGGGAAATAAAACTGTCAGCCTGCAGATTTTGTCATTAACATACCAAACAATTGGTGCATTTATTCTCCACCTGTTTTGGAGAAACAGAAGAATGAAATCTTACCTTCTCTTGGTGCAGCTGGATCCCATGCAGACCACATCTGAACAAAGAAAAAAGGAGTCCAGCATACGATGTAAGCAATAACCACCACAAATGTCATTTTCACCGTGCGGATCTTGGCTTTGGAAATGAGCCTGACGCTGCTGACGCGTGAGAGTGGATGTGCGCTCTTGGACGGCCTCGGCGTCAGAGCCAAAAAGTGCTCCCTCTTGGTTTTCATATTAATATTCTGCCATATTTTAAAGCATATCAGACCGTAGCAGATGCCTAATATCGCTACTGGAATTATGTAGATGCTCAGACTCATCCATGTGATGTAGGCTTTTGCACCCCAGGGTTGCACGAAATCCCCCCAGCAGTCGTAGACGCCATTCCCGACCTCCCTGAGAGAAAAGATGTAAGCTTGTGGGGTGCTGAACACCAGACTGAGGATCCAGGATCCGATAACACAGAAGCGATCTTTCCCCTTGTGCACAGAGCGAAGCGGCTGGCAGACTGCTAAACATCTATCGATGGACATCAGGACCAGCATGTAGGTGGACGCAAACATGCCCACAACTTGGAGATATTTGACGAGCCTGCAGATAATATCTGGTCCGTAAAAGCGAAATGTTATGTCCCAAATGAGTTGCGGCAGGACCTGAAAAACGGCCACAACAAGATCTGCGATGCTCAGGTGCTTCATGAAGTAATACATCCGAGATTTGCTGTGCTTGGTGGTGTGGATAGCCCACAGGACGCACAGGTTACCCGTCAGAGCCAGCAAAAGCACCAGCACCAGGACAGTAACTTCCACTTTGGCCACTTCTTCGTTTCGCTTTAAAGGGTTTACCACGTTGTTCCCTGGATGAGTCTTGTTTAAATGGCTGTAGTTACAATAAGAAAAGTTCTGAAGCCAAGCATCTTGTGCGGATAAAAGTTCATCCATCGTGCGCACTGGCGCCAAATTTTGCGCAGTCAACGTTTACATCACACACACGGGAATGTGGCTGCTGTGAAGCGAAGTAGTTTCTAGATGATCAGTTTGCACCATGAATAGTTGTTTTTCTGTCGTCTGTTGTTCCAATGGAAAATTCTTTCAGAGGATGGGCTGTCCTGCAAGAAAACAAAATGATGGAAAGCTGAGGATTTTCCCGAAATCATCTAGAGAAATGCATATATATTGAATTAAAAAGAATAAGTAAAAAAAAAAACTTACGGGAAAATGATTTGCTGCGTTTTTGTCTGAGGGAGCTTCAGTCTGTCTCATTCTGCGACCAAGTGGATCTCTGATCTGTTCTGGTCTGTACATCCCTCAAGTCTGTGCAGCACCCCTCCTCTTTTTACCTTCACCGGAAGGAAACTGCATGGTCAGAAAAGACTACACAACACTCAGCTTTCTAGCACTTTGACATTTTATATGAAATGTAAGGTGCATTATAAATAAAATGTATTATTATTATTATTAGAAAACTCTCCATCTACTTCTAACCTGTCCATGTTACAACACACAAAATAGAAACTACTTAAAAAACAAAAACAAAAAAACAAAAAATAACTTAAGTGCTGATTTAATTAGGGTTTTGTTTGTGCAGATTTAGGTAATTGTTAATAGTGTGTTGTAGGCTGAATGGTGTAGCAGTGGGTTGCGCTTTAGCAGGCTGGTTGCAGGTTTGATTCCAGTTTTTTTTCCTGCGTGGAGTTTGCATGTTCTCCCTGTGCAAGTGTAGGTCCTCTCCGGGTCCTGCTTCTCCCCACAGTCCAAAAACATGACTGTTAGGTTAAGTGGCTTCTCTAAATTGTCCTTATACATGTGCATGGTTGTGTGTCTCTGTGATGCCCTGTGACCTTCTGGTGACCTGTCCAAGGTGTGCCTTTTTTCTTTTTTTTTGCAATCAGAGTGAAAACATTTTATCTTAAAAAGATATTTCTGTTGCCAGTAGGAACACATGTCCATTACACATTTACCACATGGAGAGAAAAATCTTGAATCGAGAACCTATTTTGAGAGAGACAGAAAAAAAAAAACGTTTTGAAAGAGAAATGTATTTTTTGAGAGAAACTGTTTTCACTCTGATTGCGAAAAAGACAACAAAAACAAACAAAAAAGCCCAACAATATTTGAGATTAAAAATATTTTCAGATAGCTTTTTTTTTTTTTTTACCTTGAAATCAGTTTCCAAATGTCAACCTATATTTTTTTCTATGACTAAGTATTTTCTTTCAAAACGTTTTCTTCATTCTCACATAACAGCAGTTTTTGCTATCAGTATGAAAATGTGTTCTCTCCAATATATTTAACTTTCAAAATTTTCCCCTTTCAGATCGCTTTTTTTTCTTGAATTTAATAAAAATACAAAAATAACTCCATGTCTACCAGCTTGCTTTGCTCTGCTAATTATTAGGCTAATTTAGAAAAATTCTAATTTAGATATCTACCAGTCTTGACATTATTCTGAGTAAGGTTCAAAAAAGTAATGCAACCACTTTTGGCATTTAATCATATTTAGTTACTTTATTACAATTGTTTCATGTCCTACCCTGCTAACATAAAACAATTGTGTTAAAGTAACTAAATACGATTAAGTAAATGCCAAAAACGGCTGCGTTTTTTTTCTCCAGTGCTGTTCACACTGTCATGTGAGATGTTTAAAGGGTTTTTTGGATAAATATTCAAGTGTTTTTTCCAAATCAGTTTGGATTTTTTTGTTTTTCCCTTGTGATTTAAATGTATCATGATGGGTATCAAGTTACTAGCCCACATGCAGAACAAACTCTGAGACAGGGGAAAAAGTTCAAAGGTTTATTGTGAAACACACAGGTTTGAACACTGAACAGGTTCTGGGGAAAATCTGGTCCAGGACTGGTCACGACAGATTTTCACTGTAGAGGGGGACAGAATGGTTAACAGAAGTCCTGGTAATCCTGCTGGTTGAATGAGCGCAGGTTTGTACCTGTCCTGAGGTTTGAGCAGAGCAACAGAGGGGGAAACCTGGAGGGTCCAGAGGCTGGCGGCAGGCTGAGGGCTGACAGGTTTGATTCTCCAGGGTTCTTCCTTGATAAGACAGACTGGTTTCAGGCAGAGAAACCCTTCCTGGGTTTCTGATCTCCAGGACTCTTCAGTAGTCAGACAGACAGGTCTCTGACAGAGAAACTCTTCCAGAGTTTCTGATTTCAGACAGGTTCTTCCTAGAAGCAGAGAGGACAAGAACAGGTTAGGTTCAGGTAATCAGGGAGTCTTGATTCAGGCAGGCAGGTAGGCTCAGACTTGCTAACCATAACTGGCAAAACACTCTGGCACCGGAGTGTTGTCCACAGCCCACTTAAGTACTGGTCCCCTGATGAGCCGATGAGAAGCAGCTGGTGAAGTCAGCTCCAGCTTCAGGGGATCCAGTACGCCCTCTGGTGGAGGAAGGTAGACTGCACCCCAGATCCCAACAGCAGCACAAACCATAAGGAAGGGATCCTTGGCGCCCTCTGGTGGGCAAGCCTCTGGATCCCAACAAAATGTATATTTATCATTACTGCTATTTCATTGTTAAAGCTGAAGTCTGTAAGTTTTTAAAAATCACTTTTTTGTCATATTGGCTAAAACTGTCCCTATGCCCAGACAGCAGTACATGTGATATGTAACCTGTGAAAAAAACTGCTTCAATTGGTACCGCCTACTGCCTGTATTGCAATCTGGAAAGAATATTTCGGGACGAGACAAAACAACCAATCACAGCCAGAGGAGCGTCTGATGGAGTGTCAATCACAGCTCACACACGCTGAATCCCGCCCCCTCCCTCTCACCGCTGAAACTGCCGCTGCAGGGAGTGGAGAGAGGGTGGAGCTTGGAGGTGGGGCATGAGTGAAGCAGAGAGGGTGGGGGAGTGGCGTGAAACTTGTTTTTCTTCAAATTTTCAGTCGAAGTCTGCTCTCTTCTCAATGTTACAGACTGCAGCTTTAAATAGTTTAAGCCCCTCACCTCAGGCTCTCTTATTTCTGATTTCTTCTCATAAATCAGTTTTGTCCATTTATTACCTCCACAAACAATTGATATACAAAAACAAATAATTTTTACAACTTAATTCCTTTACACAGATTCTTTGACTTATTCAATTACACCAAACTGGGTTTGAACCCAGCAAAGACGCCGCCAGACTGAAGATGACAAGTCCCCGTAGCATAAACACGTACACACACCCACACACACACACACACATACACACACACCCCGCTAACCCCACTGAAATATTAAGTGTGCACCCTCAATACGCCAGCAGGTAACAGGGAACAGCTTGTGTGTTTTAAGTTAATGGACCGCTACTGGGCTCAGCGCGAGTGTATTGGTCCTCTCAAGCACAGTATAACAGGAATATGTGTGTGGCACGCAAAGTTAAAGAGGTTTTTTTAAGTGACGAGGTGGATTCGTCACAGTCACAATAACCATGACAGGAAATTTTCATATCCTACAACAGGGATGTTCTTCTGGCAAACGGGTAGATAAATAAGGATCTCACCGAATTTGGTGGAAGCTGCGTCTCGTTCGTTACATTCGCCATCGTCCCTCTAATTGTCTGCACCTGCGCTTGGGTGCAGAAGCCTGTTAAAGGGCTGTATTTTCAGAGCCCCAAGACCATAAAGTTCTGAGACGCTGATTGGCCATTAAATTATTAAATTTACCTAGCAATAGTACATGATTGGCAGATTCTATGCAGTTGTGGGGCAGTCTGATCAGCGCCCCAAGACAGAGACGGTAGGAGTCTGTCTGTGGAAATCCACAAATGAATGACAGTAGGTAGGAAAATGTAGTTTATATAATTTGTTTTGCTTATAGGTACACACTCTAGAGAGTAAAACTGACATTTATGAGTTAATTTCTAAAAATATATTTTACGTTTCTCTCTTCTTACCAGGGAGGGCGGTGCCCCAGCGCCCCCTATGGGCCGGCCGCCACTGTATATCATATAATTTGGTGTACAAAAATGTGCATTTCAGACTTATCTGGTCAAAGAATATCTTTCCAAAATTCCAGGCCTTCTTCTATTTTCCCTGTGACAAACATTCATCTAGCCATATTTCTTGGAGAGCAAAGGTTTCTATCCATTAAAATTAAATGTGTGCAGACTTTTTTTGTGATCGTACTGGTGTACACTTCAATATCAATGTAACAAGTGTCCACTCTCTGTCTCCTGACAGCATTTCAACACTTTTTTATCATCTTGCAGTCTAGTCTCAATTTAGATGGCCAGACCAGCAATGCTGGCAGTTGTTTTGAATGTATCCACTTGGAAACTATTCTCCTTACTGGGACATGGCTGCTTTTAAATTGCTCAGAGACCTCTTTATGTCCCTCATCCATCTGATAAACAGCAACAATCTTCTTTCTAAATGTCTCAGACAGCCCTTTTAATCTCACCATGGTTTTCTCTCTTCATATACTGTAACATTCAGTAGTTCTTAAAAAATAATGTTTGAGGCTTGAACAGGGCAATCATTATCATCTTTAAAGATTTAAATAAACGTGGGGTCATTTTAAACTATCCTTCTTGAGAAATGTAATTTTTATTCACATTACCGAAGGTAAAAACATATCTTTTTCCTGTTTTATTCTCTATGTTAAAGTTGTTTAAACTGGTGTTAAATATGTACTCAAATCTGTTAGAAGTACAGAGAAGCATGGTAGGGGTCCTAATGTTTTTTACATGACCACAGGTTATCTTTAGCTGAAAAATACAAACATTTCATCAACAGACCTAAAAAATGTGCTTTTTCAATTTATTTGACATGCCAGTTGCTTTATTGTAAAAAATCAGATGAATCTGCCCAGATGTTTAGGTGATATGATTCAAATGTAAAAACTGTTGGTGTCATTTGTAATCTTGCATTTTCAGTTTGCTACAATGATGGTCTTTGTTGCTTTTAGTTCATTTCTTTTTGTCCATCCCAGTTTAGTGTCCTCAGGGCCCATAGCACACTTGTAGGGGTGGAATAACTGTTTCCTTTTCTTAATAATACTTAATAAACTGGTAAAACATTTGTATTAATCCTGATTGGGCTGCTTTCCTAAAGGATTGGAATGAAGTATGCCCAAGTGTGTAAGTTTTTGTTTTACAGGTTTGTCTGCCAACCAACTAAGTATCAGAATTCAAACATCATTTGATCCACATTATGTTACCAGTGTTTGGAAAGATGAAAAAAAAACAGCTGTTTTAATATCAATGTGAACTTTAACGTTATCACTGACTCTGTTATCAATATATAGGCTACAACAGCATGATGCAAAGGAACTGTTCATGGCAGTCAGATTAGCC